ATTCTGATCATTCACATAAACTTATAGGACCATTGTCTGCCAACCTTATATATGTTCTTGGATACACTCCCCATTTCATAGACATACCTAATTGTTCAGCCTGTCCATCCATCTATCCACCTATATACCCATGCTTGCCTTCACTGACAATGCAGTACTGTATGTGCAAAAGGGTTCATATTGGTTGTCTGTCCCTCCCATGTACCTCTCTATGTCTTTCTCATCCTCAATGCTGCCATATTGGTCACTCACATTTGGTACACTGCCCTTCTCTTCACCCAAATCAATACTTACCTCTATCTATCTAACCACATTTAACAATATATTAAAACAAAAAACCCACTGTCATCGACTTAATTCCAACTCATAGTGACTCTCACTATGTTTCCAAGGCTATGAATATTTGTGGAAGTAAACTGCCTCATCTTTTTCACACAGAATAGCTGGTGGGTTTGAATCACTAACCTTCTGGTTAGCAGCCAAATGCCTTACCCACTACACCACCAGAGCTCCTTAACAATATATTAAAACCAAACATACTGCTGTCAAGTTGGCTCCAACTCATAGTGACCCCTCCTTGGGTTTCTGAAGCAGTGTCACTACGGAAGTAGATTGTCCCATCTTCTTTCCAAGGAGTGGCTGGTGGGTTTGAACCACCAGCCTTCTAGTTAGCAGTCAAATGCCTCAGGCAATGGACCACAGAGCTCCTTAACAATATATTAGGATACTTATATTTCTAAGTAAACTTCCAAGTTAGGTTTCATTTACAGATAATAATTTTTGAAAAACCAAATTTAAATATATATCAATATAAAATTAATGTAAAATTACATTATTGTATTTTTACACAAATAACAGATACACTATACTTTGTGCATGGTTTCCTTGGGAGCTATGAGTATCTACATGAGTATTATTTGCATGGGTGCATCATATGTGAAAAAATACAGTAATAAATGTTATAAAGAAATACAAAAAATTAGTTACCATATTTATAATTTCTGAATGGTGGTGGCAGGTTGGTCCTTAAAGGGACATCTATAAGAGAAAGATTATTTTTATTATAAAATATTCAAATATATATTCATAGCATATGCACAGTCTTTTGGTTGTGCTCTCCCATATACCTAATGACTAAACCACTTTTGTAAAAAATGGATAGAATGCAAAATGAAACCATTATGTCATCAAAATCCAAGGAGCATCTTAGTCAATGGAACCACTTCTAAGGTATTGAGCTCTCATTAGCATTATTAGATGAACTAATAAGAGTTTAGTAACACTATTAAATAAATTGGCATTTTATTAAATGCTATACTATCTACACACATTTGAAATATATTGTATACATGTGTGAGATTTATTTATTTTGTATATACATGAAACCTGTGAAAGCTAGAACTTGACAGAATTGCCTTGTTTTTCTGGGTCTTGCAAGTTTCCACCTATGATGGGGTATAACTTTTCTATTGCTCTCCATTCATGGAAAATATTTGAGCTTTCCTTCTCTGACTGGTTTCCACTTACACACATTCCAGTTTTCACAGAATTTACTGTAGTTAATGTTTGTTTAATATACAAATTTAATAATCCATTGAGGCCTTTGGCCAGTAGTAGGAACCAACAACCTAGAATAATTTTATCATATTTATCTAAATTCAGATAACCTACAGTATAACTCCTCTGAGTAATTAGTCAGCAAAGAACCACCACCAAAACCAAGACCAAAATCTTCTTAAAATTTGGGATTTAAAAAATACAAAATACCAGTATTTATTTAACTAATATCATCTGACGGTACAATTCAACAGAGAGGAATTTGGCAACATATATCCAAATTACATATGTATATACCCAGCAAACTCACTTTGGGAAATTTATTGAGATATACTTTGCACATTTGTGTGTGTGTGTGTGTGTATGTGTATGAAATGACATACATACAGATACTAAAAGCAGCACAGTTAGTAGCAAATGCTTAGAAAAATCCAGGTGTCCATCTACAGGGTACTTGTTAAATAATTGTAATATAACCAAACAATGAAAGGCACCTTTTTTTTTTTTTTATCCCTCAATAGTGGGTATATGGTTAAGTGAGGGCAACATCTCAAAAATGGTCTCAAACCCCATCTCCTTTAGCTTTGCTTGTAAGAAACTGCTAACCATTCCCCTCTCCCTCCCTGTCACGTTTTGATCACTTCCTCCCAGTTAAGGATTAATTTGTCCTTCAGCTAGCCCCAAGCAATTAAAGCCCTAACCAGCAGTGCTTTATCAAGCAAATACAGGTGATTCTGAAAGAGCTGTCTGGGGCTCCCTCCCGAGTGGCACAGTGCCACTGAGTCTAAAAACCGGTCATATATCCTTCCAGTCCTAGTCATGTAGACCCTATCCTCAATCCCCCAGACTCAGTTATAAATATTCCCAAAAGATGGGTGAGTTTTTTGGGGATATTCTCAGATCCAATTCCAGCCCCACTGCCCATTGGATCAGAAGTTGCTAGAAAGTTGTGTAAGCCTGTATCTATCTTTTTATCTATTACTTTGTAAACTGTCTCTCCCTCTCTCTCTTGATTCTGTCTTTTCCCCTCTTATTCTTAATAAAAAGCTCATGCCGGTAAGGGGACCCCCTGACAGATTTTTTTATTTCTCCAAATCCATCCAAAGGGGAATTTCAAATCCCCTGGGAAATTCCCAGGACAGTGGGTAAGGCATTTAGCTGCTAACCAGAAGGTCAGTGGTTCAAACCCACCAGCTACTCTGGATGGAAGATGAGGCAATCTACTTCCATAAAGATTTTTTTTCAAAAGTTTTCTTCTTATTTATTTTTTTAAAAATTTTATTGTGATATGGGTGGAAGTTTACAAAGCAAATTCATTTTCCATACAGATCATACACATTTTTTTTTTTCATGACATTGACTGCAATTCTCCACAATGTAACAGCTTTATTTCCATTTTCTCCCCATAGTTACCTCTTCCCTGTGTTCTCTCCCATCTATTTCTGGCCCTATCCCCAGCTATCTCCCTGTGCAAACACTGCCCTTCTGTTCTCGCACAACAACTGATCAACTGATTGCTCCAAGGAGCGTATCTACTTGGCATAATGTTCATTCCATATGCCTGTCTATTGTTTGGCTGGAAGCCACAGGAGTGAGTTCAGCTCCATACCTAAAAGGTAACTAGGGGCCATAGTCTCAGGGGTCTCACCAGGCTCTATCAGACCAACAAACCCAGTCTTTTTAATGAAAGACATTTTGCAAGTGTATTTAAAAATGAAAAAGGAATGGCGCTCTCTAAGGCCCTCCAAGCACTAATAGGATAAAAAACACAAAAACCAAGCCCACTGCCGTCAAGTCAATTCTGACTCATAACCATGCCCACTGAGTTTCCAAGACAGTAAATCTTTACAGAAGTAGATTGCCCAGTCTTGCTTCCACGGAGTATCTGGTGGAAGTCTTCTGGTTAGAAGTCAGATGTCTTAGGCACTGTGGTACCAGTAAGCCACCTATGGATTAAAAAGGGGAAAATAAAGAATATATATTTGTATTTGCTTGTATATACATAAGAATATTCTGGAAAGATACAAAAAATAATAATAATTACAGTGGTTACATGTGTGTCTTTAGGAAGGGGAGTAGAGTGTGGGTGTGGGAAGCAGTGCCTTGATCAGATAGAGAATAGAATTTGGAAGGAGACTTTTCACTGTACTTTTCACATTTTTATTTTAAAATCACATGAATGTGTTATCTATTAAAGAAAACTAAAACCCCCACACATGTGAATTAGGAAATGTGTGTTTTTAAGTATATATCCCTTTCAAAAGTCAAACATGTACCAAAATTAAAATATAATTTATTCCTTTATTCCACAATCATTTAGTGCATCTACTATCCAAAATTCCAGGAACTGAGGAAAAGGCAGCTACCAAGACAAGTGCCCACTTTGGAGAATGCATGCCCCGTTGGTGACCTCAGTGTAAAGTATGATGTTTAAAGCAAATGCTATGGTCTTAGGAGAGTGGTTTTCAACCCAGGTGGTGCATCCAAATCACCCAGCCCAGAACAGTTGGATCAGACTCACTACAGACTTGAGATCATTCTTTTCCCCATTTAATGGATTTCAGCCCTTTGTCAAAGATCAGCTGGCCATAGGTCAATGGATCTATTTCTGGGTTCTCAATTCTATTCCATTGGTCTGTGTGTCTGTATAGTAGGTTTTGAGATCCAGCAGTGTGAGACCTCCTAACTTCTTCTTCAATAGTGCTTTGCTTATCCAAGGTCTCTTTCCTTCCCATATAAAGTTAGTGATTGGTTGTTCCATATCTTTAAAAAATGTTGATGGGGTCTGGATTGGGATTGCATTGAATGTATAGATTGCTTTGGGTAAAACTGACATTTTCACAGTGTTCAATCTTCCTATCCATGAGCATGGTATGTTCTTCCATTTATGTAGATTTCATGGTTTCTTGAAGTAGTTTTCCTTGTACAGATCTTTTGTGTCCCTGGTAAGATTTACTCCAAGTATTTTATTTTTTGGTAGCTATTGTAAATGATATTGATTTCCTTATTTCTTTTTCAGCAATTTCTTTGCTGGTTTAGAGGAATCCAACTGATTTTTGGATGTTGATCTTGTATTCTGCCACAATGCTAAATCTCTCAATTAGTTCCAGTAGATTTTTGACAGAGTCTCTTGAGTTTTCTAGGTATAGGATCATATCATCAGCAAATAGGGATAGTCTGACTTCTTCCTTACCAATTTGGATGTCTCTGATTTCCCTTTCTTGCCTTATGGCCCTGGGGAGGACGTCCAGTACAATGTTGAATAGAAGTGGTGCTATACAGAGAAGGCATCCTTGTCTGGCTCCTGTTCCCAAGAGGAATGGTTCAGTCTCTCTCCGTTGAGAATAATGTTGGCTGTTGGTTTTTCATAGATGCCCTTTATTACGTTGAGGAATGTCCCTTCTATTCCTGTTTTGTTGAGAGTTTTGATCAGGAATGGGTGTTGAATTTTATCAAA